CAGTTCCTCCTCTTCCTCTTTTATGTGGAGGTGTTCTTGGTCCTGCTGGTCCACATCAGGCTTCTGTTCTTCAGGATCTTCTTCTTTAATCAGTTCCACCTCGTGAACATCTTCAGGAACCACTAAAACACAAGAACAGGACATTAAAGGAAGAAGTGTAGCTTTATATTCACACATACATGTCTCGTTTACCTGCTCAGGTCACAGTGCTGTGTATTTTTGATCTAAACAGGTTCCAGATCTAAACTGGAGCCAGAGCTCAATTAGCACCAGTTMTTTATTTTTCTAACACTGTATACTCTGGCTTTAACAAAAAACTCAAAACACAGCACTAAGTCAACTTTTACGGGTTTTTGCGCAAAAAAAACCCTTCCGACCAGGGCTGGTGCTAGAGTTCGTTTTTATTCACTTCTTTAAAATACAGTAAATGTTACATGGTGACTATGTTTTGGCAACTTTCCTGCAGTGTACAAAAAGGGGAGATGACTTTTTTTTCCCTCAAACAAACTCTTCGTATGCAGTTGCAAAAAATACATGCACAAAATATATCTAAAACACTTGGAAAGACAAACTCTTAAACATTCAACATACCCTAAAGAGAAAAGACAACAGATCTGTCTTTGTCAGAGTCCATACTCAAGGAGAAATTGTGTGGAAAAAACCCTTATAAGTCCTTCCACAGCAGCAAGTCACACACAAACAGAATCAACAGACAGTGTGGTTGGAAAAGTGATATTTATTTTCAGTTGATGACTGAGGAGTTGGACAAAAATGATCTGCTATTATTTTAAAAAATCTTACTACCAAAACTTTAAAAACTACAATGACCTGTCATGCTCTAAGTTTTGATCACAGTTTAATCTTGTGGATGACAGTTTTGCTCACAGACACAAGATAGCATAAACAAGAATTTTAAAATAGACAGGTTTGAATATATATTTCCTGGTCACCACCTGGATTTAACAAAGCAAACTAAGAGCCTCCAATTGGCCAATTCCTGCAAGTGTAACAGAGTTATTATTTTTTCATGTTATATTTCATCAAAATCCTGTTTTTGTTCATTATTTTGTCATTTCTTCCATTTAGTTTATTTATATTAGAACTTTGGGAGCTTTTATTTTTAAGTTCATAGTCTGTGTGATGTCACTTCCTGTCCCATGTAAGCTCTCCTCAGAAGCGGGGCCTTTCCCAATCAGTGGCTACACCAGGTGTGCCCAACCAGTCGCTCGCGGGCGATTGGTTGCCCACGAAGCGAAACCTTGCTCTAACACCGCTCCCCATCTTGTATTCTCACAGACGTAGTCTCGCGAGTTTTGGGTGCAGTGAAACAGCACTCCAAACATGATCTCGCGAGACTTTAGGGTCACGTGCTAAAACATGGCAGAGAGGCAGGAAAAAATGAACGAAAAGCGAGCTAACAAACAAACAAAAACTTATTTTCACCTGAAGTGGGAAAAGGACTCGTGTAATTCGAGCGCTGCCTTTTCCAAAAAGGATAACGTGGAACTGCATTTCTTTCAAAACAATGCACAGACGCTACGAGGCGGATTTCCCCTCCTAAACCGAGGTCAGAGGAGCTGAAAAAAAAGCTTTTCAGCACAGCATCGATTTTCACTCGCTGCAACACCAAAGCAAAGGTAAGGCTGCTAATGCAGCCACATCCTGGCTCAACAGAAAAAACGCCTTTCAGCGATGATGAAGTTATGAAAGAAGCATTTGATGCTGCACACGTGCTTTTCCGTGATTTTAAAAATAAAAGTGAGATTGTGGCTGCTATAAAGACGTGCAGTTGTCCACCAGGATGGATGATTGTGTCCAAATTTGTGTCCATGTTTCAGGTGGACTGCTCTGGTGTTAAAAATGAGGTTTTGACTCGGCAAAATGACATTGGGATTAAATCCAGAGCAACAAGTTGCATGGATGGAGAGTTGTGG